TTAGCGACTCTAACTGTCACTTTGCCATTTTCGTCAGTGACATATCTCAGTTCTTTGGCTAATTTCTCATCAACAAAACTGTGGGTACTCCCACTGTCAATCAGTACAGAAACTTTCCTCCCCTTGATCATCCCTGGTACTCTAATGGTATTGTGTTTCCACCCTTTAGCCACTGTCACTATTCTCATTTTATCGGCCACTGGCACCAATTCTTTTATCTCATTTTCATGATCATAGAAAATTCCTGAACCATCATTATGTTGGGATTCTTCCTCAATACACACTTCTTCTTCAATAGTTTCTGAAAACCTCTTGCAAAGTTCATCAGAAAACAAGCTCCAGTATGCTCCAGGGTGATTGGCAATGAATACATAAAACCATACGTNTTAGCGACTCTAACTGTCACTTTGCTATTTTCGTCAGTGACATATCTCAGTTCTTCGGCTAATTTCTCATCAACAAAACTGTGGGTACTCCCACTGTCAATCAGTACAGAAACTTTCCTCCCCTTGATCATCCCTGGTACTCTAATGGTATTGTGTTTCCACCATTTAGCCACTGTCACTATTCTCATTTTATCGACCACTGGCACCAATTCTTTTATCTCATTTTCATGATCATAGAAAATTCCTGAACCATCATTATTTTGGGATTCTTCCTCAATACACACTTCTTCTTCAATAGTTTCTGAAAACCTCTTGCAAAGTTCATCAGAAAACAAGCTCCAGTATGCTCCAGGGTGATTGGCAATGAATACAGAAAACCATACGTAAGCCTTCCCTTCCAAGTACTTCTCAATCATTCCAAGCCTCAGTTTATCAGAAATTTGATGGAGTCAGAAGTAGTTTTTGGCTTCCATCAACCATTTTCTAGGTCCTTCTTCAAACTCATATAGGGCATCCTCATCAGGAATCATATCCCGTGGCTTCGATTTTTTCTTAAAATTTTCCTCTTCACATACTGGAGGTCTATTTTCATCTTCTTCGATATAATTCTGAACTGTGTAATCTTCTTGTTCTTCATGGTCACAGTCCCCAAAAGCATCCTGGATCTCTGGAACTGAGTATATAAGGTGGTCCTTGATTTTCTCGTCTCTAGGTGATCTATTAGAACTTCTGGCCCAATTCACTTTCTCCGTGGGATCAGCAGTTGGGATTAACATCAACAAGGACAAAGGATCGTCCTCTTGCTTACTTTGCTCAGATTCAAGAATTTCAACTGAGTCACACTTCTCCCCAATCTGTTTAGGGACATTCAAATGATTAATGAAATCGAAATGCACCTTCACTTGATACTTCTCTAAGTGACTCTTCAGTAGCTATAGACAATTCATCGGCATCTTGTGGTTTACCCTTGCTCTCAATTTCAACCTTTCCTAACCCTTCACTTTCACTTTCACTTTCATCTACAGGTTCTAGTCCTCTGTCTCTTTCATCCTCCTATTGTTCCACCTTAGAGGCTGATTCAGCCTCAATAATTTCAGTATTCTCATCAAATCTCTTACATAACTCTTCAGAGAAGATTCTCCAATCTGCATTAGGATGGCTTGCAATGAATACATAAGACCATACGTATGCCCTCCCTTCCAAATGCATCTTTGCAATTCCCAGTCGAAGTTCATCAAGAATTTGATGGAATTGAAAATATTCCATAGCTTCCCTCAGCCATTCCCTGGGCCGTTCTCCCCCAAATTGTGGAAAATCCATTTTAGGGACTTTACTATTTCCCTTGAATTCCCCTCTAGTACAAACACTATTCTCGTTACTACTAGTCCTTTGTGAAGTTATCACACTCCCAAATCTAAAATTAACATTAGGCTCCTCTATTCCTTTATTTTTCTGTTCCATTTTAAGATTTGAAGACATTTGGGCGAACATGGCCACCAACTTTTCATGCTTCAGATTCATATCCAATAAAACATCCTCCATTTTCTTTTGCCTATGACTAAATACCTGGAGGGTTTGATCTGTTGATTCCAGTTTGGCTTCCAATCTGCTCGTAACTGTACCCAAATCAACTATTTTCAGGTCCAGTTTCTTCAAGTGCTCATCCACGACCTTGGCCCTTGTATCCATAGTTAGCAATTGCCCAGTATAATACGCCCGCTCTGATACCATTTGTCACGGTCTGGAACTCGTCTTTAGTCCTCACCGTAACTGCAGCTCTGAAAACGGTGGTTTCCAACTGAAAGTATAACCAAATAAAGGAAGAAAAATAGAATGGGGGAGGGATTAAATGATGTAAAATAAGAATTAGGAGGAGATGGCTGAATTGAATAACTTCAATTGACAGCTGAAAATATCAGAAAGGAGAAGACGGGAAGAAATGGCTGCAAGCCAACGATTCATCCATTCACCACCACCCCCAAATGCAGAGATACAATCCTACATACAAAATAACAATCCATAAACAAAAGGGCTTGGGCTAGCCCACTACAATACAAGCCCAAATGCATAAATAAAAGTAAAAGGCCCAAGTCATGACATAATAAATCATAAAACTGTAGTATATGTCAAAGAGGCCATGGATTTTCATTTACTTGAACGGTCGGCTGATTGCTGAAGAAGAAAAAGTTGAAGAGCAGAGACAGAGGGCCGACTGATCGCTGTTGCTGAAGAATAGTGAAGGCTCGATAGTGAAAATATTGAAAGTCTGAAACCTCAAACCATGTTGAAGGTTTGGACGGCGGTCGTCTCCACGGGGAGAGTGAAATTTTGAAGGCTAATTGGCTGAAAGTGAAGGTGGAATGTCGAAATGGAAACCAGAAACCGTGAAAATGAGAACATATGGGTGAAACCGTGTAAGGGTTTGA